CAAAATTTCATCATTGTGTGTCAATGTAACACAGATCAACACACATCTCTGCATCACATGTAATTGGAGTCTCTTATTGGTTATCTCTCACTCTTGCCACCATCATCAAGTCTAAATGGCATCCTCATCTCAGCACACACACGTTCATTGAGCAAATAGAGAGGGTTTTGCAAAGGTAAAAAAAAATTGTGAGATCAAAATCGGGTAAATTAGTACATTTTCACGTCTTTAATGGCTAATTATACTCACATTGAGTCTATCTCAAACACAAATCAAGATACATTAAAACGTCGCCTTGCTTCTTCGGGTCTCCATCAAAATGCGTGATAATGGCGATCGTGTCGCGATTAGGCGAATGAAGATCGCCGCGCGACAAGGAAACCTGCTCGGCCGGCTGCAGATCGCGAAATCTAGCCACTGGTAGTCCGAGGGTGAATTCCCGGGAAGAAATAACAGTGTATAAATGACTTCTTTCTCTCATCATCATCACCCATGATGGTGTGCTGGTGTGCATGAGGGGTAAATAGAATATTTCGTCTATTTCCAGACATAATTCAAACTTAAGACAGGCTGAATGTAATAAATCTGTCAAAAAATTTTGAGCGCACATTCAGCTCACTGAGCACTTTTGTTTGATTCTCTCTGCTTCTCCTTTTTTCATACTTCTTCCTCCGAGACTTTCTATATGCTATTGTGCCATGTACATCACAGCATAGCTGGCTTTCACTTCGCCTTTACCCTCTGTCTCGGGGGTAGTGATAGAGCGCGCGGCGGACAAAAACCGGGCGGGATCGAGGGGATGGCGTGTATGTGTTCCCGAAAAGTCGAGCGAGAGGCTAATACAATGCCCTATATAAGGCATCTGTGGTCGTGCGGCGAAGAGGAATGGATGATGCTCGCGAATCATTGGTAATCTTGTGCGCCAAACCCGCGTCCAGTCTCACACTGCAGATGGATCTCGCGGTGTCACATGATGGAATGCAATTCTTCTTCCACTCTTTTTCCCTCGCGCGATTGGCTTCGCTCGGACGCAGCTCACATCCAGCCAAATGGAGAGGTTTGCCTGAGAAAAAAAAAGCTGAATTGGGGAGTCGATTTGGTTATACTCTGGTTCTCTCCCTCCTCAACTTCTGTGGTATTTCTGTTCAATCACATAAATTATATTTAGGTATGACACTCCGTAGATAAATCATTCTTAGCTGTCCAATGCTCAATAGTATGTATCTGGCTTGATACAGCACACTTGATGATTTCTCCATAATAACATTTCTGTCTCGATTCACTTCGCTCCCTCAGCTCTTTTTTCTCGCCTCCTCAGGTTCGCTCTGGCCCTGACCCGCGTGTGATAGGGCGCTGTGCGGACCCTGTCTTTCATGGCGACAAACTCCCTCTTACCCCAGGAGACCCTTCTTTCGGTCCCGGCAAAAAAGAATGCCGAAGCTTCTAGGGGGGAGTGGTGCTATCGCGGGCCGAGTTAAAAACCTTCTGCAAAATTACCCGCCACCCCTTGGCGGATGGGAGTTTGAAATAAATGACAAAATTATATATTATGCGGCTTCTGTGTCTGTTTTCACTCCCCCAACCCCGCGCTGGTGAAATTTTCAACCCTCTTATGTCTATGCCTGGTACGGCAATTTACAAAATATATATTTATTCAGAAAAGGCACCAACACACAGCCAAATGATGGTGCTCCTCGGAAAACCACCCCCGGACTGCCATCCGATAGAATTATGTTTATAGCATCGCAGAGGTTGGTTGCTGTATGTCTTTGTGTGAGTTTTTGCACTGGGTGGCGAGGATGAGAGGGTGGCCTCACCCACCAGGGGGGGTTGGCCTATGCTACAGATACAGCCAGAGTGAGATGGTGGTATTTATACAGGGGCGACATTTTATCCTAAAATAACCATTAATTATTCCAATAAACGAGCGATGCTGTTAATGGCCGATAAATAATAAAAGGCAAAAGAGAAATTTTAAATCATATTGAAATAGGTATTTTTCCGTGGCGTATATATCAAATGAGGATTTTTCACTCAGCAAACCGCACAATTGTGCCAGTCTCGGGGTTGTAGGATTTGTGCACCGCCCTTTTTTTCTAGCTTGCCTACACGTCTTGACCACAGTGGTGTCCAACTTAAATGGTCATCATCATCAAGAACGCCAGGGAAGTGCAGCGCTTGCAAGTCCCATTCATTCCCTTACACCTTGTGTGTTAAATTTATAATACACACTAACCCATTCACAAACATATGCCGTGCCAATATATCTTAGCAATTGCGGCGTTTATATAATTTACAAAACAACCATGCCCCATGATTTGAAAACACTGGAAGTAAAATGGTAATTTAATTATGATTTACCGAACCATAATGCTCATTTCGCCCCGTGCATGTATGTATGCAGCCTCAAAATTTCCCAGCACCCAGCACAAAATTTATTAATATAATACTAGGAGAGTTTCGATTATAGTTAATACACTCATGATGTATCCTTGCCCAATTTATTGCACTATCCTATAGGTTTTGGATCTGGTAATGGGAAAGCAAGAAGGCTACATCAACATGTTTGCTGTGTGTTCTGTAGCCCTGCTGGATCAGACTGATTCATAGCCTGTTATTTGCTGAAAAGCTAGGTTTTCGGTTAGTTAGGGCACTTACTAAATCACACACTGAATTCCTAATATTTCAGGAATTACACAACAACAAAAAATGAGTGATTTAAAATAGTTAAAAATCTGCATCCAGGCATTTTTTTTTTTCTTCTAAATACGGGTACACATATATCACTTAGGATGTTATATCTACTTATAATACACTATACCATAAGGCTAAAAATGCAGTTCAAACGGAGAAACTTATGTCTCTTATAAGAGACATATAAGACCCTATTAGTTACTTGTCTCATAGGCAACATTGTGAATGTTGAATTGCGAGACAATTTATTAAAATTAGTGACTCCAACTGAGATCTAGGTTCCCAAACCCTCATGAGTGTGATTTGCTCGCCAATCGCAATTGAATTTCTCATCAGTCACGGTGTTTCTCACTGTCGTGAGAAAATTTATCAATGACAACACTCTGAATTAGATGGTGAACGAGAAAACAGACACGACAAGTCGTGGAGCGATGAAAAAAGAGTGAGCAAACGAGTTTTTAGCAGTGTAGTTGGGTTACGCTGAGTGGTATGGGTGTGCCTTTGTTGGTGTGGTTGTAAGTGTTTCGAAAAAAAAGAGCCCCGCGCGAGTAAAAAAGACGACCAAACGCCGAGCTTGAAGAAATTCTCTGACATTCAGAAATATCGTTGCAGTGGAGAGAAGCGCTCGGATCCAAGAAAATTGGGGATGGAAAATGAGCAGCGCATAGAAGATGATGGAGAAAGTTAAAAAGGAGTGCTTTGACGGAGTTGATTTGGGATTCGTAAATCGATTGAGAAATAGAATTGTGTGGCGAGTCGAACAAAAGCCAGACAAGAATCGTCTCGAGTGATATTTTAAAAGTCGTCGCCATAATATTAATAAATAATCCATGTCAATTATTTGAGTGAAGCTATCACTGTTGGGTATGATGGCTGTGAGAAGAAGAACTATAAGTAGGCCACACCTATCCTTAGGGCGGTGCTACAGTGCGCGCATTCGCTGCCGTCTGTCGCTCTCAAAATGACTGATAGATTGACATTTCTGGCTCGGCGCGCGTCACAGTAGTTGTGTGTTCTGAATCCGCTCGTCGCCACGTTCGCCAGTGGTGGTGTGACGTACAGGCGACGCGTGTGTGTGTGCGCCGAGTCGCTGAAGACGAGGTGACGCGACAAAAAGTGGGGTTATGTACCCCTATAAATGAATAATCAATGTTTTCTGCCTGCTCGTACTGGTCCCGCTGCAACTTGCCCACATCTTGACTTATTGAGTGTTTTTGTATCACTCTTTCATAAGATTCCCATTTATGGCGCGCCGAATGGCGTCCAGGGACGAAAAGGCCTCTGATGGGGAATTTGGAGGTGCTGGGGAGCTGTCAGATGGCCCCTCAATTGACGAGGTGGACAATACGGTTAGAAGGAAAAGTAGAAGATGGCACTGACCAAGTGTCCGCGGGGATCGGAGTATTTTGAAAAATTTACCCCAACTGTTTCACGAGGCACTTCTGTCAACCATAGAATGCGGGGACCAACACACGGGCCGCTCGGTTGTGTGTAGTGAGGAGAATGAGAGAGCGAGAGAGAGAGTGTATCTTGTGTGTTAATCGAGCGATTAGGGCGATTTATGGCGAGTGCCGCACGAAAATGTACCGAACGGTAATGAAGAGGGGTGGACCCGTCGCTGTCGCTCCTCCTATCTGTCAATATGACACAAAAGCCTGACATCTCTCAGCCGCGCTGAGAGAGAATACGCGAAGAACCCACATGTACTCACGATGGTGGTCGTCTTTTTTGTTTTGTATTGGGGAACGGCGCAGCAATGGGGCCGTAGCACTTGTTGTTTGCCTGCGCCATCAGTGCCGTCCTTAGCTATCTTTTCATGCCATTTTTCGGCACTTGTCCAGCATTTCGGGAGCACTGGACATCATGTTGTCTTGGCCTGAGGGGGAAAACATTGGATCCCACGTATGAGAGTGTGTTCTCTGGGAGGCGTTCGTTCGTACGGCTTGCGCGCCTCAGTGTGAGTGCTCCACAAGTTTCGTGAGTGTGTGGGGTCGCACCAACACACCCTTGCTGATGACTTTGCGCTCTTGCAGCCGATGGATGAATATTTGCATCACTCTCGAGCGATGTAGTCGTGTGATCACACGACGCTAAATGTGTAGTCTGGCTGTGCTCATGTGGAGAGCTTCTCCCAGCCGTGGTTAGTCAGTCAGCGATTTTGAAACTTATTGGACACATGCAAAGTGTCGCGCGCATTTTCAATTCCTTTTTTTACCAATCCCATCTTGGTCGTAGCCAAAACGTCCTCCGTATCAATCGACTACCGCTGCCCCCGGATTCCCGAAGCCTCAGGTGCAGTGGTGCATGAAGGTTCCGACAAAGTGGTCGCTCCTCTGGATATGACAAATTGCATCAAATCCGCATCCACATTTCCGTAAGCGCTTGGCCAGGCCAAGTATTCCGAGTGCGTGTGGCTCTTTCGGGCTTCTATGTATACTTAGTGACATGCAGTGACCTCACATCTTGCAAATTGCTCCTATTGGTGTTACTTAAGAGCACGTTGTACTCTATGACGTCACGGATTGTGTTAATTGCCAATTGTAACTTGTGCAAAAATCCAATGTGAACCAATTCTTCTTGTGATAATGCTGAAAGCTTCTCTGTGTCCAAAAATGCTAAATTCCGTATACGTTCAGCAGAAGTGTAGTTGAAATATACTTAGAAGAGAGAAAAAGAAATACTTACCAGTGAATTTTGAGAACATCTTCGCGAAATTCTCAGTGGTTCATCCAACGCAACATCCGCAACATCCACAGCAATCAGAAGTTTATGGTTGGTTTTTGATAGTGTCTCAGCATTAATCATAGCACAAAGTGAGTTTTTGCTATAAAAGTCATTTGAATATTTTCTAAAGTGAGAGACTACTTTGATGTGAGTCAGGGATTTGCATAGTTTTGCAATCGACAGAGATAAATTGTTGCATCATTCCGTAATTGACAGCCTGCCTTCCCTTTTATTTTACAATTGCCTATGGCATTCGGCAGAGAGTGATAATTGATTAGCGAGCTTGTTTGACGATTTAAGAGTTGTGTGTGTGAAAAATCCGTTTTGATATCGGGGATCAATTTGTTTGGGAAATACTCCCCCACCCCCCATGAGGTTTCGGGGTGGTTTTGGTTGATGGTGTTCCGAGGCCTTTTTTGCAACCACTGTGCGCGCAACATATTTGGCAAATTGTTTTTAATAGTCTCACCAGATTGGGACGTAATGAAAATCCATTTTTCATGGTCTACCTCCTCTTCATGTTGCCGCCTGTCCGCTCTCTAGCAGTGGTCAATAGTTTAGCACATATTGAGCGTGTTTAATCAGTGAACGTGCTTTTTTTTGCGGTCTAAACTCGAGTCTATCTGCAAAACTCCTTGTTAAACACCTCGTGTGTCTTGCCACCCTGGCAGAATGAGGGTGTGAATCTCCAGCGCATAGTGTCCAACATGGCAAGCGGGTGCGGGCGAACATGGGTCCACCCCCTCAGCCCCCGCGTGATGTATATGTTGCGAGAGGGCAACATTTTTAATGATATGCGCAATAAATATATAAGGAGGCCATTGCTTTGCCGGCTGAGGACATAAATTTCCGTGTCCCCTCGGTGCGTGTGTGTAGGACTTGATATGCTGGTGACGGGTCTCTTTTGGGTTCTTGCTTTGCCTTCTCTCTCTGATGGCTACATCATGATGGCATTCAGGAAACCATCACCCAACCAGAAGTGGTGTGTGTGCCTTACTCTATAAAATTCTATTAAGTAGACGTAAAATGTGTGTCTGGTGTCGCTTTCAATGTGACGGTGACAAGGGTTGTACTGAAGAATTTTTCATTATAATATGGCTAGTGGAGTCGCCCCATGGCATTCCACCCCAGCCCTCGACGACCTCTCCCGCCCTGTGCGGCCATTTGAGTTATGTTTAAAAAGTCCCAATAGAGAGTCCATCTTTGCTGGCGAAGGAAAATCCCCGGCAAAACCAATCAATCGCCGCCGATCGAACATCCAGAGAGGCCAGAAGTGAGATAGTCGCGACTGAAGAGTGAGAAGAAGACGGATTTATGGGTATCTCTGCTGAGTTTTCTTAAATCACACAAAAGACGCGCAAGACTTGGAGAGAAAGAAACCAGTTTTTCTCACCCATAAGAGATGAAAAATGTCCTAGTCGATTTTCAATATATCAGCCATAAGAATGAAGAAATGGACGCGCCTCAACAAAAAAATCATCTTTTATAATTTCAAACCTTCATCATTGGAAGTCAACCTGTTCGGATGCCATAAACATGGCTAGAAGAAGCGAAAAGGCGTCTAAAAATACGGCGTGAAAAAGTTTCGGAGGAGAGAATCAAGTATTTGTATTTATAGAAGAAATCATCAAAAAAGTCGTGTCTTTGATAAATGAGGATTAGGTTGCTTTTAATTTGTTAAATGAGTATTTGTTTCATTTCTGTCTGATGGCTCATTTAAGACTCACTTTAGAGCCATCGCACAGGAACAATTTTTCTCATACGCGCTCAAGAGTTTCGGGTCAGAACGCATTGATAAGCCTCTGGAGATTCACTGTGAATGGGATTCAAGAGTGAACCATTATCAATTTGATTGAAATTTAAGTGTATTTTGAGACGATTTTTGAAATACAGGACTGTTTGAAACTTAATGAAAGAAAAGAGTTGCACCAGGTATAAAATCATATGAAAGAAGTCGCGTCTGAGTTGCACGAGATCAGGTGTAAAAGAATGTGAGATTTTCCTTATTTATTCCAGAAAAATCGTCTATTTTGACCGAAATATTATTTATTAACTTTTAACAAATCTGATAAAACAAATTTTGTTCAAAAAAGTGTTCTTTCGTTAAGGGAAAACACGTTTTCAGAGTTTATTCTCTAAATTCTATTGAAGTCAGATAGAATTCTTCGTTACAGTTCTTAAAACGATACTAATTGGTAAGTTTATATGCTAAGATCTTGAATATTTTTGAGAGATTATCTTATTGACAGCAAAATCAAAGATTTGAATTTATATTCACTCACTATTGAGCTAAAATTGTGGCTTTCAAGGCTCTCAAGTAAGAAAATGGCTACAAATAATTTTAATAAGGAATTCCTTACAAAATGATAGATTTTTCTATAATTGACATTCATTGAATGTGAATAAATCGAACCTGTGAAGAGAATCTTAATGTTTCCATATAGTTTTTAGTCGTAAATTTATATCTGGGATAATATTTAGTCAATTTCCGTATTAAATTTATTTTAAACCTCAGTTACTGTGAAATTCATAATGAATTCTTGAAACACGTTCGAGTTTGAATACTATAAGTGTGAAGTCTTGGTGCTAGAAGACTCCAACCGACATTTTCGAAACATCTCAATTCACCAAAAAGAGGATTTGGTTGTTTTTGGATAAATTATCTAATATTTTTCTGTGGCTTCTCTCTCCCACAATATCTCAATTTTTATCTCTGCAGCGAGGTAAAAAAGAATATGAATAACATGCCCAGTCTTGTGCCCGGCAGAGTTTCCATTGCACTTGGACTGGAAACATCATCTGGGAACTTGTTGGCGCGAATGGAAGGGCGAAAAGGATTCTGTGTTGCCGGGATACGGATGAGGAGAGCACGAAGAGTTCGAGTTCCCTCCCTTTTATTCATCTCTTCCTCGGGGTGGATAAAAAAGAGGGATAAAAACACCCTGTCAAATGGTACATAGACAGTCTCTCACAAACACAGTCCGAGGCGAACAGGCACATAAGGAATAATATATACATTGTTCGCCATTTTGAATAGTTGATCAGCGGGGTGCTTTTTCATTAAGAATGAAAAATGATGAGCAATCAATCATAAATTCAGCATTCATTCTGTTGGCTGCTCCGCTGATGGTTGCCGTGGAATTCAACTCTGGCAATCGGCGATGGTTGCATTAATGTGAGATACAATATGAAGTATATATATCTCTTATGGGAATAAGATGGTAAAAAACGACAACGCGGAGAGGAATCTTTATTTATGGTGAGGATGCATGAGTTGCGGGCTTCTCAAGACACTGACACGCCGAGCGTGGACCTCGGTGGCCGAAGGCCCAGACATGGTGGACGGAGAAGAGTGATGGGAGAGGCTTTGTATCCAGTGGGAGAGCAAAAAAGCAGTGAACAAGAGCCGAAGCCCAGCCAATGACATTCTGCATTTCGATCATGTTTGGAGTCGCGCGATGAATTTCGTCTTCATCGCCCAGAGAAACGGCCTCGATTGTGACTGCCTGTCACAAGATGATGGCCTGGAAGTGGCTGATCCCCTCGCTCTCTTTCATCTCCCGGGCAAATGGGAATTGATGGCCGAGGGGTGGATAAGCGCGCGCTGTGACCGAATGGCATCCATTTTGACTTATATGGCGCACACAAAATCAACCAGACCACTTTGCAGATGTCATCCCAAAACCAGTTGAGAGTCGAGGAATTTTCTCTCTCGCGTCCAATCTGCATCGGATCGTGATATGGATACACTTGAAAAATCTCCACACATTGAGAAAAGTCAAGGGGGAGATAGTGTGACTGAATTTGTGTACATTTTGAGCTCTTCGACAGTGCAGAAAACATGCTTTTTCCTCCCATTTCCCTGGATGTCTTAAACATTTTACACTGTTACTTATCATATTATAATCTAGGCTTTCTTATCTTCACAAGAGCCTTTCTTTAAAAAAAAACAGAAATGTTTTAGGAAGTCATTAGAGAGAGATTTTTTTGAATTTATTAGTCCTGAAATCAAACTGACAATTGGAATGTTAGACACTAAATATATTCTAAGTGATCTGAAGCCTCATTAAAATTAGTTTTTGTCACAATTCATAATAATAATGATAAAATAGTATTTCTCCCATGGACAGACACTTGAAAAAGTCCCAACACCACTGAGGAAAATACATGTTTTCCTGAATGGATGTTTTGAAATGGTCGCAACGTGTTGAAAGTGAGATGTGTCTCGGGTATTTTTGGCAAAAGTCTTTTGTTGTGATTCTATTTCTAGGCTACTCAGGATTATTTCGGTGCGAGATTTTTCTTTTTCTGCCAACACATTCGGAAGTGGTGAAAATGGGCTGCGATTTTGGGTTACATGTGTGTCTTTAGGGGTGTGATTCATCATCATTAAAAAATCATATATTTTTGCGGAATATTTAGAAACATGACGAGAAGATGTTTTTGAAAAGTTTTATTTCGAAATTGATTTATATGTGGCGCTCTCAATAAGATAATTTAGCAACAACTGTGTGTTAGATAATTTTTTTTCTCGAGTGTTTTGGGGGGAGTTTTGACAAAATAAGAAAATCAGTTTTTGAGATCAACAGCAACACAATTTTGGGAAAATGATAAAACCGGATTGTCAATCAGCCATTAAAATGCCCAATTCCGATTTCCTCTCCACCCAAATTGATTTACTGAGGAAATTGTCTATTCATTATTCCGCTCTCTTAGTGTTTCTCCCAAAAATGTGGCATTTTAACATGTCTCCAAAATGATTTGCAGAGGTTACAATTAATTCAAAAACTGTCTCGCCTTTGATTTGGCCGATGTCGTAACAGATGCCTTCCGATGCTGATAAACCTCTGAGAGATTTCACCTGTCGCTCAGATCCGTCAATGGGAGTCTTATGCAAATGCGCGCCTCTTGAGAAATCCCAGTGACACGATCCATCAAAAAATCTGGCCCGTCTTTCACTTATTACCTGCGCGCGTCAAGTGATTTGAATATAAACACCGTTTGACCATGTGGAAATACACAATCGCGGCGAAATCGTCAATTTCCCAGAGTTGTTGGCGTGAAAGTGAAGATTAGAATATCTGTGAAG